TATGAATTTTCTTTACAAAATATAAAGACACATACACATTAGTCATTTCATAACTTCTTTTTGTATAAATGATAAATAAGTTAATAAATATTATAAAAATTAAAATAAAGAAGATAAGCGTCATATCATAAATCACACGAAAGGTTACCAATTATCTTCTCTTAAGAAGGAGGTGATGATGTGACTCCTTATGTACCTGTGTTTGTGTCGCTTGACAAGTATACCTATTAATCAATTGACCTATCTCTAAAGGGACCGATAGAAGAAGTCTAAATATAGTATATAGTAGTAGAGTGACCGTCTTCTTTATTTTTTGAATTCTAACTCCTAGAGAATTTCTTAATTAGTAATTATGGTACATTTTTTGTTGTTAAAGCTTTATCCATTTTGCTAGTACATGAATATTATAAAATAGAGCTTTTGGATCAACATTTTGATCAAATTTTTTCTGCTTTAGGAACAAGTTGTCCATGATTTTGCTATTTTATTATATATCTCTGTGGTGCGATGAAAATTATGAAAGAATCAAAACAACATTTATTTTCTCAAGATGGAACAATACTTTGAATCAAAAAATAATTAAAAAATATCATGGTACATTTTCTCTTGCTTCGATTGATAAATCAATCCAAGATAAGGAGTTTGGATATGATGATTCCAAAAATTAAATCTTGCAAATTTATTCCCACAAAACCTGAGATAAATTCATTCTAAAATTAATCTCAAAATTAATGATCTATTATCCATCGTACAAAACGAGCCTATTGTCTATAGAGGAAACAAGAAATGATTTATTATTGTATCAAACCATAGGTATTTCATCGATGTAAAAATGTTCAAATCATAGTAGAGGGCAAAAAAGAGCCCCAAGAGATATCTTCTCATCTATTTAAGCCTTGTCGAACAAATTTATCATATACTTTGTGCTACGAGAAATAACATGTATCCCACTAAATAATTGAGTAATCGAACATGGTAAAAAATTTCACAAAGGGTATTCAAACTTCGAATCATAAATAAACTATGATATTGAAAGGCTACATAATAATACAACCATGTCTGAACCACAAGGAATCAAACCTATGCATCTTGTTTTTGCCAAACTACTACTCTGCATTGTGTCGAAGGGGGTTCAAAATGCTATATATACGAATATAAAGTAATATTTGACCTATATATACAATGTAATTTTCGACAAAGCGTGTTCAGCTAACCACCCTAGACACCACCCCATAAATCCACCCCCGGGTAGGGGCAACTTCTTAGTTTTCCTCAAAATGAACAAGTAAAAAAGAAGGGAGAATCAACAAGTGATTTAGAAGAAGCCTTTTTCCTAAATTGTAAAAAAGTACATAAAGTTTAACACAAGTGGAGAATAGACAGATTAGACTATCTTCTAACGTTAGGAATGTGCAACAAAAAATCAAAAACAATATAAGCAAAGTTTGAAAAAGTGATTTATATTTGAAAAGCCAATGCATTGATCATCAAACTGTAAAAGTATATAATAAGATATCCCTTTTAATTGATCTCTCACAATTCCCAGGTCCTTTCCCCATTTCCAAGGTTTCTTTCATTTACACTTTGATTATATTCTTAGCTTCTTTTTCTGGTTTTCTTTCTGTTTTTTTATGAAAGAAAAAAAATGTTAAAAGAAGAGACCAGGTGCCATTAATTCTCTCTCTCTTTTGTTACTTTATTCTTTTAGCAACTAACTAGTTTTTAAGATCTTGCTTGTTAAGATTGTTCCAACTTTAACACTCTTTCTTTCACTTTGTTTGGACCAATAGGCTTTTTGGTGTCTAATGTTCTTTAGGTTAACTGGGCTTTTTACCAATTCTCTTCAAATTGGTGCAAGGCCTAGGCCTAGGCCTAGTCAACTTTTTATGAAGAAAAATGCTATGGCTGTGGTATCGAGGCCAGTTGCACGTGCTACCTTCCACCAACACAGATGAACATTTTCATCCACTTCATTAACGACTAAGCTACACCATTTTAGTGGTACTAAGTAGTAGAGCTTTAACCTATTGAGGTGGAATGAGGATGTGAAGTTCTGAACATGCTACTGAACCAATAGATATAGTAATTGGTAACATTAGTATAAATCTTCTCTAATTTTCGTTTACTTTCTGCATGTAAAAAGGTAGATAAATGACCCACAGTTGTATATAATGGGGGTTTGAATTAGGTATTTATACATGTTTTATGAATTTCCTAATACAAATATAAGGTTTATGAATAATTTCATATTTAAGTTCCAAACTGGTTAAACCGTTAAAGGTGTAGCATTGGAAACAACCTCTTTACACCGCAAACGTAAATGTAAGGTTGTACATTCTACTCTTTCAAGACCCCGCTTGTGAGATTACATTGAGTGTGTTATTGTATTGGTTGAAGGGTGTCCAAATGCTTAGAAAAGATCTCTGATTCTATACCAGACAAAGGAAAGTAATATACTTCCAACTTTTGTTGAATTACTTATTCCTATTAAAAGAAGAGTTTGTACTACTTTGGGTTTCGACAAAGGTGATTACAAGTCACATTAAGTGCTTGAAAGAATCACTTATTAACTCATATGACCAAGTGCTTGAAGCTCTTGAACTAGATTCTACAGTGGCGGAACCAAAAATTTTGACAAAGAAATTCCCAAAAATCCAGCAATGTCACATGTGATATTTTGGGGCTTCAAAACTTTTAAACTTTGTTTTTATCCTACTTCCGCGGTATAACCTTCCAATAAAAAGGATTCAATTGAATCCTCATCCTTATATATGGCTCTGCCTACTTGTTATGATTTACAAACTCGGGATCTCAACCTACTATTTAAAGGAATTTTGGAACACCCTTTACTGATACACTAGTTTCCTCTGATGTCATGAAGATTCAACAATCTATACAGGCACAAAAAAAATCAACAATATAATTTTCCAACAAAGAGGATTCATTTGGATCCCCTCCCTAATAGATGGCTCAAAGCCCACACCTCATCTATTTCCACCAAGTACCTCCGACCTCCAACTAGCACAGTTACCGAGTAATCCTGCTCACCAAGGTTCAAACAAATGACAAGAAAACACCTAGTATTTTTATTGTTGTTGGAATTTAAACCCGAGTCTCTAAAGTTTGTACCCACTTCATAGACCACTAGGCTGTTGGGTTTGATAAATCTAATACATCTCATTCACTAGATATCAGTGTTCTTCTTGGAGTTTGTATCACCTCCGGCCAGCACACAGATTCAGAACTGGAGAAGTGCTACAAGAAGGGAAGGGAAGAAGACTTGTGTTGGGTACCTAGAAGTGCTGATGCTACTCTTCCTTTGCAACTACCAGATTTGCAAATCAAGCAGTTTTTGGTTTTTTAGTTTGTTAAGGAAACTGTTCTACTGCTGGTGTGTTCCAGTAACTTTTGCCAGCTTGACCCTATGATCTTTTCTTTCTTTTGACATATGGTTTTCAGGCGATTAACAATATTGAGTATAACAGAAATCAGAGTGCACCACATTCGGAATACAATTCCTGGAAATGTGAAAAAAATAACGAAGGGTCTAGCACAATCAAATATTAAAGGATACCGTAACATATTTCTAGAAAAATTTAAACACATGATGTTGATCAATATGGTAAATATAGGGTTCATATACCACTTCAACTAATACCACCCTATGAAGTTGCACAAGTTGCAGATTGTAATTAATAACTCCACAAAACCTTCAAACAGATAACATGATGCAAGTTCAACAAGGATAGCAATATCCTGAATAACTGATGCAGTACTGCAACATCAGTTGAACAATACTCAAGACCATGAAGGGAAAATTACAAGCAGACGAGTATTTGTTGAGGCAAAAGATAAAAATAGACAATGACAAATACACACAAAGTTCCTAGATAAGCAAGTTCCATAGAAAGAAATGGACCTGCAATCCAGAAAGTAGATGATAAATCTCCTTTCAGGGGTACATTACTACTCTTCATCATCATGACGTTTCCTGCTCCTCTTCTCAGAACGTTTTTTGTCCCTGCCTACTCGTGCATCATCAGAGTTGCTGGCATCAGAATCAGATGCTGAGGCTGCTGCTCTCCTGCTCCTACACTTGTGCCTTGGAGGCGATTCATCACTTGATTCAGCAGAACTGTCTGCATGTCTATGACTTCTCCTCCTCCTCTTCTCCTTCCTACTTTTTCTCCTCCTTCTCCGATCCTCCTCCTCATCTGATGAGTCATCCCGTTTCCTCCTCTTTTCCCTCCTCCTCTTCCTGCGCTCCTTATCTTCATCATCATCCTCCGAATCACTGTGTCCCCTCTTCTTCCCACTCCTCCTCTTTGATCTACCCCTCTTCTTCCTTTTTCCAGAGTCTGACTCGTCATCGTCATCATCTTCAGAATCTTTCTTTTTGTGCTTCTTAGATGATGACTTTAACTTTCTACTCACCTTCTTACCATACTTCTCAGCAATTGCCCTCTCCATTTCAGAATCATAATCGGAATCAGAACTCTCACTCTCCTCCTCTTCTTCACTGCTATCCTCATTTTCTGCTTTTCCCTTCATCTTAGAACCATGCCCCTTAATCTTCTCCAATCCAGACAACACGGCAGCTTCAATTGCCTCTGCATCCTTATCCTTGTTATCATCCTTAACACTCACGAAATTCCTACATTGGAAAGTGAGGTGGCCAACCCGCCCACACCTCTTGCATGCTCCACGGGTCTCATCAGCATTTGATCCAGTGATTCGAGCAAGTGCAAGCAAACCCTGAAAGCTCGCATAAGCATTTTCGGGATCTGCAGCCGACGAGGCCTTCTGGGTAGATGATTTCTTGTCTTCATCCTTGCTAGGAGCATATGGGTCATAACCGATAGCACTTTGCCAGATGCCATGAGTCTGTAGGGCTGCACTACTGTGAACCCTATTGTTCGCAGGCATGCGAACTCTACCTGCTGTGGCCGGCATGTTGAATGTTTCTCACCTGTAAGCTGTATACACCAAGAAAATAATTTTTAAGCATTACCATTCAAATAGAATAGTTTCCACAGTAACAAAGAGCCAAAACCAGAAGTAGAACAGCTGTTTACACATAATCAACATGTAAGCATCAAATTTCCAAACCCTAGCAGTTTTTTAAAGCTCCAAATTCGGTGCTAAAATCAGAAGCGAAAAGGCTGTATTCACTAAAAATCTAACAGGTAAGCACCAGATTTCCAAACCTTAGCAGCCTTCCAAAGTTCCAAATTCAGAGCTAAAAATCATAACAGTCCATTTACACTGAAAATCACAACGTAAACATCATCAACACTCCCAACCCTAGCTTTTCGAAGTTCAAAATGCAGATCTTAAAATCAGAACAGTATTAGGATGTGTACACCAAAAATCATTAGTTAAGCGTAAAAAAATTGAAGCCCTAGCTTTTAAACAATTCCCAATTTGAACTAGAAAATCAGATCAAATACATATAAGTTTCAAAATTAGGCTGACAACAACAATTCAATTCCACAAAGATATAACCACCCAAAGTAGTTGATTTCTAAGGTAGAGCAATATGAAAAACCAATAGACAAATAGCGAAAGCCTCCCAAAAGACCAAAGATACAAAAAATTTAAAGCCCTTACAATGAGATAATTGACAAAGAAATGGACCTTGAACCTAACTCAAGCCAAAAAACTAGCTCACGAGATGAGAATTTCCCAAGCCATATAAGGAGACCAACACCCTGCTTGGACGGGTTTATAGCTTTTGACTTATAAGCAATAAGTTAGGGATTCTGACTTATGGCTTTTGGCTTATTTTTGTCTTTTTGACTTAAAAAAAGTTCTTAAAAGCTATTTCAACTTAAAATAAGTCAATCCAAACAGTATCCGAGATGTGGGGGACTCCACAATAATTGATGTAAAGACTAATACAAAAAAAAAACCAACAAACAGATAGTACAAGTTCCCAAAAGACAAAAAAAAGTACAAAACTTTAAAGCCCCTTCAATGAGATAATTGGTGTAAGCGATCTAAAATAGTTCCTAGGGTTAATAAAGATGTCTACACAAATTCACCACAATCTCAAACTACTTTTGTTCGGGTATATGAATCATCAAATTTCGATTCCGTTCCATCTGCCCATTTATTCCAATACTCAATAATTTTACTTAAAACAAGCTATAGGTGATTGCACAATCAATTCAAATGAATTTAAAAAAGAATGAATCCTAAAATCGTGTTTTTTCTGCTATATCTCTAGGGGTTTGCAGATATAAACTGTTAGTAAAAGTGCAGATTACACCACAATCATCATTATCAACAACAACAAGCACAATTTCACCTCAATCTCAAACTAGTTGGATTTAGCTATATGAAATCCTCAATATTTAGTAATTCGTCTTGAAACAAGCTAACAGTGATTGCACCATCAATAAGAAAATCTTCTTTTTTCTTTAAAAAAAAAAGACAGAATTAGGGCATAAAAATCGTGCTGTTTCTCTAGTTTTTCTTTCAGACATAAACTGTTAGTAGAAGTGCACATCACACCACAATCATCAATAACAATTTCACCTCTATCTCAGACTAGTTTGGTTCGGCTATATGTATCCTGAATACTCAGTAACTTGTCTTAAAACAAGCTATGGATGATTGTACAATCAACTTAAACAAATATAAACCAAAAAATAGTGCCTTTTTATGCTTTTTCTCTAGTTTTTCCAGATATGATCTGTTAGTAAAAGTGCATATTACACCACAAATCATCAATAACAATTTCTCCTCAAATCTCAAACTAGTAGGGTTTAATAAAGGTACAGATTACACAATTTCACCTCAATCTCAAACTACTTCGGTTCGGCTATACTTATCATCAATTATCAATTCCATTCAATATTCCCGTTAAAACAAACAATCGATGATTGCATAATCAATTATAAAATTTAAATAGAAGAACGAAACCATAAAATCGCGTTTTCCAGCTATTTCTCTAATTGTTTTTCAAATACAAAGTGAAATTTTGGGATCTGAAACTTACCTTTCCGGCGATTTTATCAGTTGTTTCTCCGGTGAAGATCGGAAAACTATGTCCGGTGATTTTGAGTCGGAGTTCCCAATTTCGAATTGCAAATAATGAAAAAAAGAGGAGAAGTTAAGAAATCCTATCGCGAATAAATAGATTTTACGACCCGAAACGACGCGTTTAGTATGAGTCGGTGATTCTTTCTTTTTTTCCTTTGATATTTCAAGTTTGAATAATCCATAACTCGAACTGAAAAAGTTATTGATTTATCAGTATTGGGTAACGATTTGATTATTATTTTTTATTATCTGATTATCGATTCGTAATGGTTGGAAGCTTTTTTTTTTTAATGGTTTAATCGAAAATTCGATAGTAAATTAAATAATTATATAATATATTTATACCATTTGGTATATAAAGTCCTTGACTTAGAGTTTAGTTTCATACTTTCATTTTAAATTGTCTCAAACTTTCGGTTATTCTACAATTTGACCGTGTTTGCTTCTGATCAAGTCTGACAACCAGGGGCGGACCCACGTAGTGTGTTATGGGTGCTCGAGCACCCATTAACCTCGGCTCGAGCAATACATATTTAAGTATAAAAATAGCAATATTACTATATAAATGATGGCCAGCACCCATTGAACATAAAGCTGGATGGCGCCTCTGGTTTACGACTTGAAATGAAGGTGTATTTAGGGTGGTTGGTGAGTTCGATTCTCTATCAAAACATTTCTTTTTCCTTTTTTTTCTTTCTCATGTTTTACTCTTTTACTTTGTTTTTTTCTAACATTCTTTATTTAGCTGTAAAAGTATATTGCTTCTCCTTTTCTTTTTTTCTTAAACCAATCCAAATAATATTGCATTGAAATGAAAAAAAAATTGCCCTGCTATTTTACTTTTTTTAAAAAGGAAAATTGACTTGTAATTAAGCTTTTTGGTTGATAGAAGTTTACATTTAAAATAGTGAGTAGGGGTGTGAAAAATTGATCCGATCGATAAATCGAACTGAAAAAAGTGTAATTGATTTATTGTTATTGGGTTATTGAATTAACAGTTTTTTAATGGTTTTATAAAAAAAAATTATTGGGTTATCGGTTCAGTATTAGTTTTTAATATTGGCTTATTGGGTGAACCGATAACCCATTAAAATTAGTAATTTACTTGTACATAAATATTATATATTAATCTCAATACCTTACTAGTTACTGTTTTTATTCTTTAGCCTTCAATTCACACTTCAAAGTGACTTTTAGTTCACAACTTCACATTATACAAAACGTCAAAATCTAAAGTAAGAACTTTATTCCTCTTAATATATCTTTGTGTTTCACTCGTATAGTTTTTCATTACATTATTGTGTTGTCGCGTCAAATTTATTAGAGAAGTCATATATTTATTTTCTTATTGGTTAAACCGAATATCGAACCGTTAAGAACCAAAACCGATAAAAAATCTCTTATTGGTTTGGTTATTGGTTTAACGTATTTAAAAACCGAAAATCACAATAAAACCGAATGATAATACATAAAACTGAACCAAACTGACCGATGCACACCCCTAATAGTGAGCACCCATAGCCATAAAACTCTGGATCCGCCACTGCTGACAACTCATGTGCATGATTCATTTGGTTTATCACCTTGTTTTAAAGTGATTTCCATGATTTTTTTGGTGTCAAATCTTAACGATTAAACCGCTAATCAAACCGAAAAAGATCAATACCGATAAACCAATATCATGAAATGAACATTTGCCTCACTTAGTGTAGTCTCAGTTGCACATTTAGCATAGTGTTCGGACTTATATGCCTTCAAGAATCAGGGGTATTAGATTTTTCATTCGGTGTTCATATTTGTATTAGGGCCCAACCTAATTCAAATTCGCGTGAGTTCCATTTGGGCAACACTTATAATAAGATTTTTTTCCATTCCTAAGTACTCGAACTTGATATTTAGTTAAGGTACGTGAAAATAATAGAAAATGAGTAATTTCTTATGATTTTGCACCTTGAATGCTTGTTCATATAGATGAAACCTTTGTTAACACATAAATCACCATTAGGCAACATTAGTCCTGTTTGATAAACTTGTAATTGACAGGAACATCTAAAAGAAAAAAGACTTGAACTTTGAGAATTTGGTTTAAGCTTCAACAATTAATGATTTAACTACATTTTATTGTAAAGTTCTCTATGAAACAAAATACTTTGAGATTTTTGCCTACACGCCACGCTAGAGCCTATTGTAGAGGTCAGAGACGGATTCAAGATTTAAATTCTATGAATTCATTCTTTAAGATTTAGCAATGATCTCATTATATATTGTTAAAGTCACTGGTTCATATTTATTTATTGTAATTTTATTGAAATTTTACACATAAATTTATGTTTTGCATCATAAGTACTGGTTTAGATGAACTCACTACTGATACATTAGATCCGCCCCTGATAGGCTTGTTGAAAAATGGCTGCACAGTTGCAGGCTTGCAGCAACAAATGATTCATCATGTTTTCATCAACAAATTGTTCATATTACAACTCTCACTTGTATTTTACATAATATAAATGCAAATAATAAAACGACATGTACAGTGCCGATCCAAACAAGCACCATTGCACTTCACCTAAATCACACTATAGGAAAACTAACCAATTTGAAGAATTATTGGTAGAGAAATAGCTAGAAGGGCACTTCAAAAACCAGTAGAAGCACGACGCGTTCACCATAAGAGATGTAGGAGGTATATTGCAAGGTTCCGCGCCAATCTGTATTTTGAATCAAAGTGTCAGAGCTAACATGTCAGAAGTAATAAGGCTACACATACTAAATCATCAAGTATGCATTAGCTATACTGCTTGGATTCTTCAAAAAATGCTATCAGGTACGTCTGATCCTTCAAAAACAGTGCATGTATCCAACACGAGTACAATAACATTTTTGGGAGGTCCGAGCAATATAGTGCATTATTAGAGTTTGAGCCAGAAAGTTATCATTGTGATTAGGTGATACGAGAAGCTTGAATTTTCAATAAGTACATAGAGCAAGCTTAAAGTAGTTTGGTGAAAGAGAGTTTTAAGTTATGAGGCTTGGATGTTACAACTTGATTATATGCCTTTGATTGTGTTTGGTGATTGTGAACTTCAAATTACGCGAAGAACATGAGAAAATGTGTAGTGTGTTATGCACGTGCTCACGACTAATCGTTGTTATCAAGTCATTAGCATAGGTTGATGCAACATAGACTTGTGTGATGCACGTGCACGAGACTAAGGTAGCTCTCCATAGCACCTCTTTTCTCGAGAATCCATACATCCCTTGTCAGTGTATGCAGCTATTTTCGAGCACAAGTTTAGGTTCGGCCTCAATGGGAAAACACAATGGAGCACCTAACTCTTCACAATCAATTTCTCAGAATGCTATAAGAATCGAAGAAGAAAATGAAGTACCTGTTGGATACAATGTGTTAGGATAGACTTTCACATGAATGCTGACCATCTACCTCATAGTAATGTTTGATGGATGGGATCCGTCCAACCTTTGAACGATTGCTACTTCCTTTGCCACGGATATTCTCAACGAGTTCTAATGAAGCTGCTTTCAGATTCATCTGTTCCAAATTGGTAAGATAGTCAAGTCCTTGAGGAACCACCTTCAGTTTAGGACAATCGTGTATATGCAGGCGCCCAAGTTTTGGCATAACTCCTTCCAGGAATACCATTTCATCCAACTCTGGCAAACACGAAATGTGTAGGTCCTCGAGCTTTTGGAATCCTGATTCAAAGTGCAGCTGTTTCTGGCTGGCATAGGCATTAACCAGCACAAGATGCTCCAAACACGGAAGCTGACTGATGCAGGGGATAGGATCCTGATCTTCTGGGAAGTGGCTCCAATGCAAATGCAAATGCATAACGTTGAGCATCGAAGAAAACCAACGAGGAACTTTGCACATTCTTCCAACTAAAATAACCTTCCGGAAAATGAATGGAGTCTTCGAGAGATCGTCTAATTTAAGAATTGCATTTGCATCCACTGTCATCACAAGTAGATGGTGAAGGAATTTAAGTTTGTCGATGGACGAACATAAATTCTTCATATGTTCTTCTTTGACATTTGTGAGCTCAATCCTTCTAAGCTTAGTCATTTTCACTATCTTACGTGCTATATCCGCGTTTGCCTGTATGCAATTAAGAACTTGTAAGTTCTTCATCTTCCACAGCTTGCCCGGAACTTGCACCCCTCTAACATATGCAAAATGTTCTGCTGATATCTCTTTGCCATAGGCCAGAAGATGTCGCAGATTATGCAGCTCGGTGATTCCATTTGGGAGTACATTCACTTCTGTTCGCCTAATATCTAACGTCTGTAGGTTTCTCAGTCGATTCATAGACGTTGGAAGCTCTTTTATTCCTGTACCACCCAGACTTAAGTACCTTAAATTGAACAAGTTACCTAGTTCATTAGGTAACGAATCAACTTTGGCATCGTTCAACTCCAACACCCTCAGTAGTCTAAACCTGGATAAAAGATCATCCAACAAAAACTTGGATTCCCCTTTGTCATTGAACATAGAGAAAGATCGAACGTGTGTCAAATCACCTTTCATCTTAACCGCTCCATCAACATTGTACACGGACAATCTACGTGCTCTTATCTCATCTTTCTCCAGTACTTCTTCACCACATATAGACAAGAAATTCTCCTTCTCTGAGATCGAACGAGCTAGCTCCCACATCAGATCATGCAACTTGCAAGTCTTCGGCCTTATAAAACTCTGATTCTTTACAACCTGGAGTAAGTTCCTAGAAATCAGTTCCTTGAGATAGATTTTCCCGACTTCTTCCGAATTCAGGCTGTTCTTTTCTTCCAGAAAACCTTCAGCCATCCACATTCTAATGAGTCTGCCTGCTCCTATCCATTTTCCCATCGGAAAACGACAACAATACAGAAAACAGTTCTTAAGATAGTAAGGCAAATCATTGAAACTCAACAACATAACAGTTTTAACCTCAGCCAGTAACTTATTATTGCTGATATGCCAACTTAAGCTGTCGTAAACTTCCCTCCATTTCATTTCCGACCTATCTTTAGACCCCATTAGTCCTCCAAGAGCAACAATTGCTAATGGTAGACCTTCACATTTTTTTGCCAATGCCCTGCCTATTTCCTCCAGTTCAGGAGGACACTTGCAATTAGGCTGACTCGAAAACGCCTTGTTGCAAAATAGCATCCACGCATAGTCATCAGCTAAAGGTTTAGAACGAAAATGTGTGCCACCAGGACCATAAGGGTAAGCTGCAATATCTTCATTTCGCGTTGTTATGATGACCCTGCTCCGGTTTTTATCATCAGGAAGAGCAACCCTTATTTGTCTCCAGAAATTATTGTTCCATACATCATCAAATACAACAATATACCTCTTTTTGTGCAAGAACTTCACAAGAGTCTCCACCAACTGCCTGTAGTCCATTGACTTCAAGTTTTTCGGGATCAGATCTTCCTTTTCATCCAAAAACTCCGAGATCAGCTTTTTGAGCAGGTCCTCAATCGTGTTGTTTTGTGAGACGGAAACCCAAGCACAACAATCAAAATTCTTCCTCACAGTCAGGCTAGTATACGCTTTCGCGACTAAAGTTGTCTTACCTGAACCACCCATGCCCGCGATAGAAATGACAACACGGTGAGCCTCCTCTCCCTCCAAACTTGACAGCAACGAGTCTTTAACTTTATCGATCCCTATAACTTCGTCGTTCTGAATGAAGAGTGAAGATTCTCCAATATTTTGCACACTACTACAACAATTTTGTGAATTTGATCCAGCGTTCGAGGATGCTTCCATGTGACTTAGATCATACCTCTTGCTTCGTTTTGCAATGTCTTTAATCTCAGATCTGATTCTCTTCAACTCCAGGGCAGTTTTATACCTCAACCACAGTATCTTTGGAAGGTAAAACACACCAGCTAGACGCCCTCTAAAACCGCTCTTTTTCATGCTATCCACATGATACAAGAACTCATCAATGATATCTTCAGCTTCAAACGCTACGTCCCTCACTTGTACCACCCAAACACACACACCTTCATTCTGGTTTTTACACTTCTCAGCATCTTTTATAAATGAACCTATGCTCTCTAGCTCAAGTTTCACCTTCGAGATCTCCTGACGAACTCCTCCAATCGCATATCCTGGATTGTCAAGCACAAACTCCATGCTCAATATCAAGATTTTCACTGCAGATTCAGCCATTTTTTTGTCTTTTCTCAAAAATTGTTGTTCATGAACAAGACAACTATTTGGTAATGATGTATAAAGCTAACTATCAAAACCAATAGTAAAGGTTCTCATGTATAATATATTTCATTTCAGGTATAAATTGTATATAACTAAAAAAATAAAATACCAACAGTAAAGTATGTCCACAAATAATGAATAAATATGTACTAACGGCGCATATAACACATATCCACATGTATAAATAATGGTTCCACATAGCAACTATTGCTTGAACTCTCCAAAAATAATGTTACTCAAATTAGAGGTTATATAAGAGCTGACCTTTTTTAATATTACACAATTATAAAATGTGTATCCGAGGTTCGAACCCTCAAAAGAAATTAAAAGTGACCCGAGAGATGGGTTTCCATTTCCCTGGTTTTTTGCGCTAAAAATGTAAAAAATAATAAAAGATAACTACTTTTTTGAAAACTGACCTTTTCTTAGGCTAATTTCTGAAAGTAATTTTTGACTTTTTTTAAGTAGTGCGAGCATTCACTAGCTCCTTCATATTTTTGAAAAATCCGACCCACATAACTCTCATTTTATCTAGCTTCATGAGTCAATAGACATCCATTATTTTTTTGGAAATGGACCCTTCTTGCTCTCAAACAAGGACTAAGAAACCCCAAATAGGAAAGTTGTTTGATAAAGAGTAAATCATGACAAAGAATTGGGATGAAAGAAACTTAATTACCATCTTTTCACTACTGATAAATTGTAATTTGTAACATAAGAACCCTAAGGCTTTGGTAAAGTGGTGAGACCGCAGCGTGTGATGATGTGTGAATTAGGTACGCGTGGCAATTTCAAACCCTACTGCAACCAAAAGTATGATATTTATAGAGAGACAAGTTCATTATCTATCGAGTTCTGAATGGGTAAAATTCACAAATTAAATAGCTGCTTTTCAGTTCAATAACTAAACAATAGCTATTGTTATAGAGTCTCAAATTTTATAAATAAAACGAATCTGAAAGAATAAATTAAAAAAAAAGAAAAGACTGTCTTCGCATATGCTAGATTTTTACTTTTTTTTTTAATCAGATAATTAGTGGAGGGGGTAATTCCAAGGATATCATAAAATTTCAACATAATTTAGATAAGTAATTGATAGTTTTATATGGTCTCTTTTTGAAATTAAGAAGACAATATTCTACTAATTTCCATATGACTTTGATAGCTTATCAAGATGATTGACATCATTATAAAAGAAAACTATATGAAAAATATAGTACAACTTTTATAAAAATCTTAAAAAATAAGATAGGTTATCCGCTATATATCAATTAAAATATATTGATACTACAATTTTTATTCTAGCATTTTCATTGTATACAAGTTAAATTTTTGATACAATTACTTTGTTCATTGCTTAAACAGTCATAAAACTATTGGAAATAAGTGAACAAAGTCAAAATTATTTTTTGTTTGAGTGACTCTTTGAGAAGAATAAAACATAAATAATGATTCTTCCATTAAATAGTTGAGTAACCAATAAAACCCTACCATTATAAAAAGTATCATGGGTTCCAGCCTACTTTTTTTTTTTGGTTTGGTTTTCCACCCGATGTCCAGAGCCCACATTGAAGCTTCGATTAAATTTGGATCGTGCTCTGCAGGGCCCATTCGGAGGTGGCGCTCCCAACTGAATTTTTTCCATACCCAGGACTCGAACTCGAGACCTTTGGTTAAAGATGAGGCATTCCCACCAATGCACCACAACCCATGTTGATGAGTTCTAGCCTACTTGACCCCAAATAAAACTGAAATAATTCTACTCATATCATATTTTAAAAGTAGAAGGCAAATTCTACTTGGATTCCTAAATAAAGACTTTGAAAAAGAACTTATTATCAAGATGATTGACAAAAGATATATGACAAAGTTGGTACAATTATTGAAAATGAAATGCATTCATCTATCTCTTTCTTATAGAAAAAGATGAGTTTGATATATATATATATATGCATCCATCTATCTCTTTCTTTCCTTTATAGAAAAAAGATGAGTTTGATATATATCTATTAAATTGTTGTTATGTGTGGAATTTGAGGAAGGATCAAATGTATCACAATGATATATTGTAAGTAGCTTTATCTTATATTATTCCAAGAGGTTGTTTTTGTAGCTTAAACAAGTGATCTCCTGATTACATGACATTAACTTTACTTGTTATGTCAAAACTCATTTTCAATAATTTTCGTAAAAATTACATAAAATTCTATAGTGTTAAGAGCTAATTATATCATACCCCTATTCTTTCTCAAATCACAAAAATCCTTTAAATTTATAGGATCTCGGATACATCAAGAAACCCGTGAATATATAGCTCATGAATTGCGAATGATAGTTCACTTAATGAGAAGAATGTATCTGAGAGGGGATAAAGATGTATCCAAGAGGAGAGGGATGTTTCCGAGAGGAGAGATGGATGTTTCCGAGAGGAGAGAGGGATGTATCCGAGAGGGATATGAATGTATCAGAGAGGGGATAATTAAGGATGTATTCAAGAAGAATTTTTTATAATTTTTTTTAAATGGTATGAATTTTAGAGATTATGATAAAATATAGGATGTGTATTTAAATAATTTTTCCATTATTTTAATATATAATGCTTTTTTTGGGTCCCCCTGTCAACACCATTTCTGCCAATATGGCACTACAAATGTGGTAACCTTTTTTCCCCTATGTAATATCTCCATCTACATGGAGTAATATAATATTCCAGATTAGCCAAAACAGAATAATTGAGTAACTTAAATATGTACTCCATAAATAAAGTACTACTAGTATTTAAGGGTGGTCAATGACCTGGAAAAACAATAATGGGAGATTAGACAAAAATAAATAAATGCTGGTAGGTGATTTTATTTCATCTGTCTATATTTTGGTGCGCATAATTATTTGAATTTATGGGTGAGAAATAACAACAAATATCTACTAAATAATTGAGATACACATAAGCTATTTTAGATACTATTGATATAAAATAATATAGATATTGGTGTATAATCAAAATTATATAGCATATTGATTATACATAATCCAATTGATTTGTTCAAAGGAAAATTTTCAAAATAAAAAATATTGAACAAAATATATCACTTCATTTGCAACAACATATACAGTTCCACTCTTTTCTCAAAGGTAATTATTAATTTTGATAATTTTCAAGACGACTTTCCAAGTCTTCTCATCAGTCAAAAAGAATGAGAATATTAATCAATGTTGTATGACCAACATGTTGTCTCCAATTAACCCATCTAAATGAAATATTCATAATTCTCAAAAATAAAAATGTATGTGGAAACCAATTTTCTTTTATAATATCCGTATATTATAAGTTAAACTCGAAAAAAAAAAAAGTCGACTTAGAAATATTGCGAGCCGTGCGTACAGATAAAAAAAGCATAGGACAAGTTAGCAATTATTTTGTACTATGTACCACATGGTGAATGATTGATTCTTTATTTGTTATTATCCATACATTATACATATATGAAATATCTTCTTTTTTTTCTTTTTATTTAAAGATGTAAAAATTATTATTACAGACAATATTAATTTATCATAATTAAGTGATAAATGATCGATAATATTGAGTTTGAATAAATATGGTATCGACTTGCTACATCCACCTTTGTATATCGACATTCTATATCCACCTTTAGTTAAAATAAAGCAAAACTACTTTCGTCATCCCAACAAAAAGTTCGAACTATTATTCCTATTTTACAACTGTAGTGTCTTGATCAGTTTATACGCATTTTGATTAATTTTACAGTGTACCTGCTACCGCTTGCATGTACAAGTACTGAGTAACTCTTTTCACCAAAGCTTAGATATATGTATGAATTCAACCAGTTTAAAAATGTTGATGGGTACATATGGGGATATTTTTATTTTTTTTGGAGGATCCAACACAGGCATGAAAACATCATTAGAGAGTCCAAACAACATAGCATTTAACCACAAACTCAAGGAGATGATTTCCAACATAAAATTGGTTAGACTCCCACAGCAGGAGCACACAAAATTGATCATCTCATCCAGCAACTTACTTGAATAAATACATTATTTTTTTATGGCAAACTTGTGCACAACACTTGTCTTGTAAGCCATATATTTTTTGCTTAAGAGTATTGAAATTGAAATACAACTACAAACACAATGCAAGGACTGAATGTACCAGTAATATAAAAAGTACATGTAAGCTCATACAAGTAGAGGTTACAACTTGATGAGTCGATCCACCTACACGTCTTGCTTTTACTGCTATGTCGGGAGTTTCGCACCAGGACAACCATTCCTCTGCATAGCACCAGAGACTGCTAAGAGTTGAAGCAGCCGCAGCTTCCTTAAGCATCTGCACGGACGAAAAAACAAAGTGTAACGTTAAGTTTGCTACGAACACTTACTTGCAACAATAACGGGACAGAGAGTTTGATAAAGATGCTGAAATTTCACCATTTAGGGGAAGAAGCACTCCTTGAAGAGAATCCAGAAGGAGCATTTGGAATGGATATGGACAGCTGAGTGGTGGAGAAATTATTTTTGCCAGATCCCTCGTCAAGATTGGACCATGATTCTTTGGATGTAGGCCACTCGTCAAAGAATGAACGCATTGGATGCTGTGTCTCCTGCTTTACTGTACCAGATGAATCTATGTCACTGCTGAAGAAGCAATGTTGGGGTTGCTGTTTTGATTCGATCACAGGCTCAAACGGATTAGGTGAACTACCCAACAGCTGGGAATCATTTTTCAGATTGGGTTTTGACGGAACTTGTGATGGCATCAGACGCCACATGTTGTCTGTGTTAGAACCCGTATCTCCTAGTCCTCTCACACTTGCAGAAGCTACTGGCAAGAAATTGTGGTCATCCGCATCAGGAGCCATTCCGTACCTGTGTAGCATTTCATGAAACTGGATTTTATGCCATTTACACCAAATGCAAGACCAACAATACAC